TAAGTTGTTCAAAATCCAGAACAAGAACAAACCATAGTATTACTATATTTTATAAGTACCAGTATATAAAATTTATCTTCTTAACTTTGTTTTATGTAGTTTTTTTGTACTAATCTTTTGAATTTGTTTTTGAACTCGTCCAACGATTTACTCATTTTCAGATCCATCTCAAGCTTATTCCACAGATTAACTCCTATTACTGATACACATCTTTGCTTGATGTTTGTTCTTGTTCTGGATTTTTTGTATTGATTAATACCTCTTAGATTATAACAACTATCTCTGATTTCAAAAAGCTTCTGGATATTTTGACAAAGGAGATTGTTATGTGCTTTATACATTAATTGGGCAATTTTGAAGTCAACCAGGTCATAGAATTTCATTGTATTTGATTTGATGAATAGTGGATTTGTGGGTTCGATATATTTAGACCAATTGATTATTCTGATTGCTTTTTTCTGTAGTTTTAAGACAGGGAGTGTGTTTGATTTACAGGCGTTACCCCATATTTCCACACAGTAGGTCATATATGGGAGTAATAATGAGTAATATAATGTGTACAAGGAACTCATATTCAACACATCCTTAGTTTTATGGAGTATCCCGATGGTTTTGGATATTTTCCTTTTAACATTATCAATATGTGGCTTCCAGGATAGTTTGGTGTCTATTACTAGTCCAAGAAACTTATTTTCATAAACTCTTTCTATTTCAATTGAATTTATCTTTATTTTAACTTGGTCTTTAATAGGTCTCGTACCAAAAATAACTAACTTAGTTTTTGTTAAATTTAAAGATAGTTTATTTCTGTCGAACCAGTTTTTTAATTTGGTTAATTCATTTTCCACAGTTTTCAGGAGTTGTTCCATATTTTTTCCACAGCAGTAGAAGGTTGTGTCATCAGCGAATAGGACACATTTGAATTGTTTTGTAACACTACAGATGTCATTTATATATAGAATGAATAATTTTGGTCCAAGCACTGATCCCTGTGGCACTCCATGGGTAATCTTCAGTGAGTTGGATTTTTGGTTGTTGAATTGCACATACTGATATCTATTTTCTAAATAACTTTCAATCCATTTATATGCTATACCTCTGATACCATATCTCTCTAATTTATTCAATAATATAGTATGATCTATTGTATCAAAAGCTTTCTTCAGCTCCAAAAAAATCCCAACCGTGAATTCCCTATTGTCTATGTTAGTTGCTATTGCTTCCACAAACTCCATTACTGCCATTAAGGTTGTACGTTTTTCTCTGAAGCCATATTGATTTTCACTTAACAGCCCGTGTTTGTTTATAAAGTTGTCAAGTCTGTGAGAGAATAATTTTTCTAATATTTTTGAAAATTGTGGTAGCAGTGATATTGGTCTATAATTTGTGAATAATTTTTTTTCTCCACTTTTAAAAATTGGAATGACTTTAGCTATTTTCATTTTTGATGGAAAAATACCTGCTTGAAATGACAAGTTGCATATGTATGTAAAAGGTCGCACTACAATTTCTATGATCTGTTTTACTATTGTCATATCAATATTAAAACAGTCAGTTGCTTTTTTACTTTTATATGTTTTTACAATATTTAATATTTCATTTTGATTCACTGCAGTAAGAAACATTGTGGAAGAATTTTTTTCTATGTATTTATCTATTTCAAAACAATTTATTGGATCAGGAATTTGTTTTGCTAAGTTGCTGCCAATATTAACAAAATATTCATTAAATTCCTTTGCTATTTGTGCAGTATCCTCAATAATGGTATTTTTATCTTTCATAAAGTACTCCGGATAATCGACTTTACTAGAGCTATTTCTAATTACCTGATTTAAGATTTTCCATATTTCTTGAGTGTTGCTTTTATTTTGCTCCAATAATGTATGAAAATGGTCTCTCTTGCTGGTTCTTATAATGTTTACTAATTTATTTTTATAAGTCTTATATTTTGTTTCAGCTTCTTTGGTTCTGGATTTTAGAAACGATTTGTATAGATTGTTTTTCTTTTTACATGCATTTTCTATGCCTTTTGTTATCCATGGCTTACTTTGGTTTTTGTACTTTCTGGTGACCTTAATTACTGGGAAATGCTTGTCATATAAGGAGGTTATGGTTGACTGAAATGCGTCAAACGCAGTATTTGGATCTTTATTTGTGTAGACCTCAGACCAATTTTGCTTGTCTAGGTCGAGCTTGAAAGCTGCGATGGAATGTTGGGTTCTGGGTCTACAGCGATTGAGTTTGAGACCCGTGACCAGTTGGGAAGAGGGTGTTGATGGACATTTTTCACAATTGATGTTCCCTGTATGCACCCTTCATCTATCTGGGATCGCTGAAAGATGTGGCTCCAATCATTATTTTTCGAAGCGGGGGTTCTGTGAGCTCATTAAAGTATTGTCTGATCTTATCTCATTTAAAACACTGAACTAACCAACTTTATCGCCTGAGCAAAGGCAAAACCATTTCAGGGAACTGTTCCCCTGGTTGCGGGAAAACAAATAGAATGTGTTCAGGAAATGTTCAACCTGACTCATTGAGCTATGTGTGGAGATTTGTTTTCCAGGTATCCCTCCATCCTATCGAATCAGATGAAAAGGTTGTCTGTGCCCCTTTCATTGAGGTAACCACAGACCCAGAATTAAATTAAAGCCGTAGGCACAATCAGTAATCTCAACATCACCACCAAGGCCCCGCCACTCACTGAGTGATGCATCCGAACACGACTGAGGTGGACAAACACATGACAGGCGGTGACTCACACCCGCACACCTAGCAATTAACCCTCGCACATCTAACAAATTATTGCCTGATGTTCTCGTCAGGAAACCATATTTTGAGGCTGTGCACACACTGTACTGCATTATGATGATGATGATTATTATTTTTTTTTATATTAAACCACAAACAACATGCTGTGATTGTCAAGGAAGAAGCAGATTGCCTTGGCTGCTGTAGCTTCATTTGAAAAACACAAAAAGAACAGGTAAATATGAGAACTATAGGAGAGTGTGTGTGTGTGTGTGTGTGTGTGTGTGTGTGTGTGTGTGTGTGTTGTATTCACCAATCCAACCATCCATCCATCCATTTTCCGATCCGCTTTATCCTCACAAGGGTTGTGGTGGTTGCTGGAGCCTATCCCAACTGTCTCTGGCAGCAGGCGGGGGACACCCTGAACCGGTCGCCAGCCAATCGCAGGGCACACATACAATACAATACAATACAATACGTGCTGATTTATATAGCATAGTCAAACAACCATCCGCACTCACACTCACATCTAGTGACAATTTACAGTGTTCAATCAGCCTGCCATGCATGGTTTTAGAATGTTGGAGGAACCCGGAGTACCCGGAGAAAACCCAGGGCAGGCCCGGGGAGAACATGCAAACTCCACACAGGATCGAACCCACGACCTCTGCACTGCAAGGTCGACGTGCTAACCACTGGGTCACCGAGCCACCCTAGCTTCATTATAACAATACAAAAAGAACAAATATGAGATCTAAAGGAGCGTGTGTGTGTGTGTGTGTGTGTGTGTGTGTGTGTGTGTGTGTGTGTGTGTTTATCCATTCATCCAACCATCCATCCATCCATTTTCTGGTCGGTGCTGGAATTGAACCCTGCACCTCTGCACTGTGAAGTCTCGTAATATCATTTGCTCAACCATAATATACAGTGCTCAAAATTGCTCAATAAATCTTTGGGTGTTCTTCATAAGGATTTAAAACACAATTTAGAGTCAGAAAAGCTTTGTAAGAACTGTTCAAGAATGAGTCCCAGAAAAATCTCCCTTTTAGTCATTATAATTTTCAGAACAAATTTCATGGAGCTCACCCCTTCAGGGTTGAACATGTTCAGCATTGCCAGCACAGACCCTCTGTTCATTCCTTTCTCCCAGCCAGGAAGAGCAAAACTCTGCAAACCATATTAACAGTGTGTACAAATTCAAATGATTCGTTTATCATTAAGACAAATGCACTTAATATCGAGGACACTTATATTCTGATGTTTAGAATTAAATTACCTGAGGCAGAATCCACCCAAACTCATGGTTGGTTATTCCCATCAAAACCGGAACTGGCATTACTTCTTTTCTCTTTAGAAGTTCCTCTGCGGTATCAGTCAGAAAGACGCCATCTACCACGCCTCCCAGGTAAATTTTCATCTAAAAACAACATTTAAAAAATAAATCAAGAAATAAATAATCCAGGCCACTCAACTTTTACTTTTGCATACTGAATGCATTCCATGTACCTTTTTAGTTGCAGCAACTAAATCTTCTTTGCTCTTTCTTCTCAAGCATTGAACCAGTTCCTGCGATGTGCTGTCATCACAACCAGTCAGGTTGGCTACAATCTGATTGAAAGGAAACAGTGAATTTAACTTCTTCTTCAGTCCAGTCTCTTTGCTCAGCTTTGCCTAGGCAGTCCACAGACCGCGGGTGCGATGGAAGAAATTTGTCTTGTAAGATTTGTTTTGTGAAGCACTTTGTTTGCTTTTGAAGTATGAAAGGTGCCATATAAATAAAGGTTTGATTGATTGATATATTGATTATGGCTGGCCTCACCACTGTTTTATAAACGTTCCCCTTCATCCCAGAGACTCTTCTATGACATGACACATTTGACAGTTTCATCCATCTATTCCTTCACCTCTCACCTCCTTGGCACCGTCACCATTGCTTTGGACTGTTGACCATGAAGTACTTAAAGTCATCTCCACTTGCTGGCTATTCTCCCTGTCGCGTAACTTTTCCTCCTCCACTCGTCTCATTCACATATATTCTGCATGCATTTGTCTTACTTCGGCTAATATTCATCCCTCTCGTTTCCAGTGCATGCGTCTACCTTCCTAAACCTCCTCCCTCCTTAGACTGCAGGTTACAATGTCACCTGCAAACGTCATCGTCCATGAGGATTCCAGCCTATCATCCCTATTGCAAAGAGAAAGGGGCTTAGACCTGATCTACACTGTACTTCTTCATCAACACCCTCAAGGCAAATAATGTATTTTCCTAGGCATGAAACCATACTGTTGCTCACAAATTCTTACTTCTGTCCCGAGTTGAGCTTCCACTACTCTTTCCTATAACTTCATTGTTTGGCTCATCAACTTATTTGCTCTATAGATCCCACAACTCTGCATATTGCCCTAAAAATGGGCACAACCGCGCTTTTCCTCCCCCTCAATAAGGCATCTTCTCACCCTTGAGAATTTTATTACATAACCTGCACAAGAACTACAGAGCCACCTCTCCGTGATGCTTACCTCAACAGGTATGTTATCAGGACCAACTACCTTTCCATTTTTCAAACCTTTCTGCCTTTCTGATAGAGAAATCTACGAGCAAAATTGTATCATGTTTAAAGTTTCATTTAATTTGGGCACGTCCACACCATTGGGTGCGTAGCCAGTGCCCTCAAAGGCCTGTGCGTAAAGGCGTCGGCTGTCTGGGCGGAGGGCTTTTGAAGTCCACAATTATCACGTCAAAGCAAGTGCGCGAACAGGGGGAAGAAGGCTAGACTCGGTCACAAAGTGGGAATAAACAATTCGGGACCAAAGCGTTGTTGAACATCAAAAGACGGTTTGGCAACGGCTGTCGCGCTCAGGCAGACATTTGTCATCTGCGAAGTCTGCAACTTGTTGATTCATTGTAGACCAGACGGAAAGGCGTCAACGTACCCGTGGTTCAAAGCTTAAACCAAGGTAACCAATCACTACCGAGGGGCCGGACCGGGGGCGTGGTATGCAAATATCGGAGGCAGGGTTTTTCTTGTATTTTGCATATGTAACAATAAAAGTTCAAACTGGCGGACAGGGAACTCTGAGCGTGATTACCGGGCAACAACCGTTGTTCGCCCTCAGAGATCCCTCCCGCCGATAATGAAGACAATTTTCACTGTGTGCCGAGTCATTTCTTTCACACTTTCTTACTACTTTCTTCCTCAGCAATCATTGCGACTTCCTGGTCCACCACAATGACCTCCTCTACTCTTCGTTCTCTCTCATTTTCCTCATTCATCAACTCTTCAAAGTATTCTTTCCATCTATTCAGCACAACTGGCACCAGTTGTGCTAGTGTTTCGTTCTCTATCTATAATCACGCTAACCTGCTGCATGTCTTTTCCATCTCTATTTCTCTGTCTGGGCAACCTGTCAAGATCTTTCTCATGTTCTTTACTGTACAACCTGCCATTCGTGTCATCATATGCATCTTTTTTGGCCTTTGCCACCTCCACCTTTGCCCTAAGTCACATCTCCTTGATTCTTCTCTCCTCGACTCAGTCCTCTTTGTGTGCAACTTTATTAGCTAACTTTCCTTGTATGCTTCCCTGCATTTTCTGGTTCCACCACCAAGTCCCCTTCTAACTTTTCCTTCCAGAAGACACTACAATCACTCTCCTGCTCGTCTCCCTGGTCAATTTGCCTGTGGCAGTCCGGTATTCCGAAAACTAATCTTCCTCATCCTCAACATGGTTGTTTTTCACACCACACTATCCCCTACCACCTTACAGTCATTAACCTCCTTCAGATGACATCGTCTGCACAAGATGTAATCACCTGCGCGCTTTTACCTCTGCTTTTGTAGGGCACCCTATGTTCCGGGCCTCTCCTGGAAGAAACTGCTTGACACAGCCATTTCCATCCATTGGGCAAAGTCTATCACCATCTGTGCTTCAAAGTTCCTCTCCTTGATATCATATTGACTTCTTCGTCACCCCTGTTTCCTTTCCCAACATGTCCATCAAAATCTGCACCAATCCAGAGTCTCTGTCCAGCTTGGATGCTCAGAACTACTTCATCTAGCTTCTTCCAGGATCTTTCCTTTGCTTCTTGTTCATGCCATATCTGTGGAGCATAACCACTAATTACATTAAACGTAACATCCTCTAGTTCAAGGTTCCGCCTCATTACTCGATCACATTCTTTGCTAACTCTTGCTTGAAAAGAACCCCGACTCCATTTCTCTTCCCATCCACACAATGGTAAAATAATTGGAACCCTGCCGCTTAGCTTCTACATTTGCTGCCTGTCCACCTGGTCTCTGGACACACAATCTACCTTTCTCTTAATCATCATCTGTCAACCAAATCCCTAGCTTGTGCCGTCATAGTCCCAACAACCAAAGTCACCACTTTCAGATCTGTGGTCTGTATTTTCTTCTTCTTTTTCTGCCTTTGAACTTGCTATCCACCTCTCCTTGGTCTTCAATCCACAGCAGCTGAATTTCCACTGCCGTCCTCGAGGGTTAACCTTGCTGATGGCGTTGTTATGAATTTAGGCCACGACTGATCTGGTATGCATTTCTTAGGATGAACTCTCATATTTTTTTTGACAAAGTTTTAAGCCGGATGCATTTACCCAGGCTTGAGACCAGCTGACAGTTTGCACTGGTTTGCGTACCCCGTAGGCCTGCATTCAAATGTATACCTACATGTCAATAAACAAAATAAACTGAATCAGGTGAAAGTGACCCAATACATAAATGGTTTCAGTGGGCATGCAAGCAAGAGATGTCTGCGTGATCAAACATGCCAACAGTGTCATCTTGAACATGATTATGATTGAAGCAGGCCATGCAAATGTTCATACTTTTGGTCTGCAGCATGATTAAAATGCTCAATCCAATGCTTATCAAAACAAGATCTTACATATTGAGTCACTGACGCCCCATTCAAAAGTTAATCTTAATTGATTTAGGGCCTATACCTTGACAAGAGCCAATGAATGGCTGCTTATGTAGGTTCCAACTGTTGCGACTCCACTTTGAAAAATTGCCTTTTGGAACAATCCTTTAGCTTGCGGAGACAACGTCTGAGGAAATACAACATATTAGATAAAATCAATAAACATAAATAGTACATAAAAATATTTGGACATACAGACAGTATGCTTCTTGTACACAACATACATACAAAGAAATAATAATAGCTCCATCCATCCATCCATTTTCGAATCTGCTAACCAGTCACCCACCGTGCCGCCCTAATAATAGCTCTAAAATAGTAATTGGTTGATATTTTAGGCACGCTATATGTTAATAAACAATCAATTGTGTGTGTGTGTGTGTGTGTGTGTGTGTGTGTGTGTGTATATATATATATATATATATATATATATGTATATACATACACGCACATACACATATACACACACATATATGAACTGAGATTTTTTTTTTTTTACCAGTATAGATGCACTGATGCCACCTGCAGATTCGCCAGCGATGGTAACAGCTTGAGGATCACCACCAAAGGCCTCAATATTTTCCTGCACCCATCTCAGAGCAGCCAGCTGATCCAAGAAACCCCAGTTTCCCTGAAGATGTTCATCGCCAGTGCTGTTGGATGGCAGTGTTGCCTTTATTCAGCTAATTTCACCACAAAACAATCTTGCACACATTTAAAAACTAACACTTACAGTGTTCTTTTATCACATGGCTTTCTCGTTTTACATTTATGTCTACCACATAACCACAGAAAAATACAGTCCATGTGTAATGTGTACTAATGTATGAGAGAACATTTCAGTGATGTTATGGTTATGTTTACGTAAGTGTCTTTGAAGTTGGTGAACAATAGTGTCTTACCCCAGGAATCCCAGAATGCCAAGGCGATACTGAATGATAACCACTACAATATTTTCATATGCAGCCAATGGCGCGCCATCAAACTGAGAGATGGCGCCCACTACCAGACCTCCTCCATGGATCCACACCATAACCTGACAATCCCAGAACACACTTTGTTTATTTATTTATTTATTTACATTTGGAAAATATAAATACGATGGACGATCCGAAGATGAATGTCTCATGGGCATACGAAAATGTAATCCAGTAACAGTTTGCTTCTAAAGTTGAACAAAAAATGTCATCCCTTTTATGTGTTAACGTCAGCATAGCTTCACCTCAACTGCAATCATCATGTTGCGCTCATGGGGATCCTTGATTTAGTGTTCCCCTCACTTTGGTAAAGACTCATATTTGTTTTATCTGTCCACATCACTTTTAAAGTTGAATTTGTGATGATTATCATTGTACTGCTTGGAAAATTTGAGCTTGAAATTCCTATTGATCTTTAAAATGTGTACTTTGCATTTTCTGTTATAGCTTTAGTACAGTATTGCTTTTCATGGGGCCTACTACAAACAGTAAATTGCAATGCCTTCACTCTTGCCTTCCGGATGTTGTTGATGATGTCCCTAATAGTTATCGGGCCGGCTCTCACAGTGTTTTGTCACCACCAGCTAATGGTTCAACTATGGTTCAATATTAACCCTTTCATGCACCATTAATGATAACCTATAACCTGATAACATGGTAGGCTGTCCACTGTAGTGACCGCTGTCCCTGAAAGGATTCATGTGCAATGGCTCTGACTGTTTTTCGACATCTATCTCTGGTTTTTACGTTGGTTACACCTGTAATTAGTATGTAAATGCAGTCTCAGCACGAATACCCCAGATGTGAAACTGAACTTGGGCATTTAGCGCTGCATTAATCAATGTACTAGGACACAGGTGTCAAACTGAAGGCCCGGGGGCCAGCTCTGGCCCACCACATCATTTGATGTGGCCCGCGAAAGCAAATCAAACATGTTGACTTCTATGATGCTTGCTAAAATTTGAACCAACATTTCAAATTCTCATATATAATATACAAGAGAGCTATTGTAAGTTTTCTTGAAACCAAATCCCTCATTACAGTAATTTAAACTACAGTTGAATAAACCATTATTCTTGACTTCCTTATATGGTTTCACAGTCATAACGGCACTCCAAGGGAACCGGGAACTAGAATGTGGCCCGCGACAAAAAATGAGTTTTTACACCCCTGTTCTAGGATGTACCTGGGCAAAAAGATTTGGGGCACATGTCCTTCTAATAATTTTGCTCACATGAAAAATGAGTGGATTCTCACAACAGCTGTAGGCTACTGTTTCAAATTGTGTATCAGACAAGAGAAAATTCCTGAAAACAAAAGCAAAATGTCGATCTGTTTTCGCGCAGCTCATTAGATGAGAATTGGAATTGGCCTCTCTTTTTCAATACCAATGAAGGGAATGTGCTCAATGTACCGCATGATCAGTGTTTTCAACCTACCGGCAGTTTGTCACCTCTTTTTGCCTCAGCTTGAGTGTATACATTCAGATACAGACAGTCCTCTGAAAGTTCTGGAGGAGTGTATTCTACTGACATCATTCTGGAAACATTCACAATTATATCGGAGTCCTGAATACACCTGAGATTAAAAAAAAGAAGGGAGAATCAGATGGAAGCTGTAATATGATCATTTTTTTCATGCTCTTTGTCCTTCGTGATTGAGTGGTCTTACATAGGAGGCTGGCGTGTGCCATCTCTGACCCCCTCCCATTGCTCTGCATCTTTGGGAGCAGCCAGTCGGAGATGCCCCACTGGCGGTTGGGCAAAAGGTATTCCCAGGAACTGCCTCACTTTGACTTCTGTCCCTTTCACAGAAACAATTTCTCCTCTGATTTGGCCATTTGTCAGTGAGACCACAGGGTCAATGCTCCTCCCTAAAGAAGTAAAAGACATTTAATCTTGTTTTAAATGCATATATTAAAAGGCCCTTTCTGTCTCTCTGCTCATCCATCCATCCATCCATCCATCCATCCATCCATCCATCCATCCATCCATTCATCCATCATCCATCATCCATCATCCATCATCCATCATCCATCCATCCATCATCCATCTATCCATCCATCCTTCCATCCATCCATCCATCCATCCATCATGCAGTACTTTGATAGTTTAGCCCTCCTTCTTGGTTCCCCTTCTGTCCCACATGATCATGTCTGCCTTTACTTTGTAATTCAACACCAGGGACATCATAAGGAGAGAAATAAAAATTGTACCTAAATGTTTCAGTCCAAACAGTTCTAAAAGATTAAATTGAAATGCATTGTGTTCTAAAGTTAAATACAACGGAACTGGAACTAAGTGTTCTGAATTTTAAAAACGTAACCTGTAACATTATACAGGGCATAAAATTGTTATTGATTACCTCACGTACCACTAGACGGAGCCCGCATGCCTTACCAGTGGCACTTGTACAGCACTGAAAATCTATGACTGTCATGTCCCGTTTTCGACAGCAGGTGGCAGACGGTGTTTTCGGCCGGATGCACACCTGCTACCCATTTGTAATCAGGCACTGGCTTTATTAGGGCCGGCTTTCGTACTTTCACTTGCCGGAGAATTGTTTGCCGTGCCACTGCTTTGCCCATTGTGTCGGTAGTACCTTTTCGCATTTCGCCTTTGTGCGCGAGTTAGTATTAGGAGTTTGTATTTCTCGGTGTGTATTTTTATTGCGACTAGATTGTTTTTCTCCTTGCCTTCGTGCGAGCGTTTTTTGTTATTCGGTTCTTTCGTGCTTTTCCTGGTACTCGTTTTTGCCAGCGTTTTCTGTTGTCTCGTTTTTTGCGGTGCGGTTTTTGTTAAATAAATCTTATTTTCATACGGAGCTCTTGTTGTTGTCTGCTGTTTCGGGAATCCTTTAGATCACCTTGGTTGCGAGTGAAGCGGGTTCCCTTCCGCTTTGCTCGCAACGTGACAATGACTTGGAGTCAGGACATTAAAGATAGCCTCTGTTGATTCCCACAATGGCGTCAAACGTTTGTTTTTAGTTGCCTGTCCCTGCAAAAATATTAAAATCCATTCTGGCCCGCCTCCACGCAGATTTAGACCATGACTCACTCGAGCCAAGCCATCTATTTAACTGAGTCTCCACTCAACTTTCATTGATTGATCCTCATCTATACAATAATCGAACAGCGCTCTAGACAGCTACAGGCTTCATTGAGGCAAAAGTATTCACAGGGCTGTTCTTTGCAATGTGGTAATGTGTATCTTGTATTAGTAGTATATTTTATTTTTGCCTCAAAAGCACGGCTGGATTCACACATTTGTCTTTACAAGCACAACAATTTGCAGCCCCCTATCACATACAATGTACTAGGTTTTGCCGTTGTGCTTACGCTCAATCGAAAACAAATCACACCACGGGCTTATGTGTTTCTTATGATAAAGCAGATGTTTTACATTTACAGTTTCATGAAATTTACCCTTGACCACGTGTTGAAATAAAATATAATAATTACCTTACCTTGTGTTTCCTGTGCTTTCAAAGCTACAGGACAAAGCAGATAAGAAATGATCAGTATTATTTTCATCCCCGAATGCAACCTAAACCAGGCACTTTGAGAATGATTGCCTTGTTTTTGTCCAAGTCCTCTTGTCGACCCCCTTACATTCACACACACACACACACACACACACACACACACACACACACACACACACACACACACACACACACACACACACACACACACAAACACACACAAAACAAACATAACCTTGCACACACAAGCAGTTGTCAACCTTTAGCGTCACAACCACTTCTCCATTGATTTGACCTCCAATGAACAAACAGTACTCTGACCGCAGTCATGAAAGACAAAACCTCTTTTTTAACCATTTCAAGTCTGAAAACGGTCATTAGAATATTTTATGATGACTAGACAAGAGAAATTCTGTACTCACATGACTATGGGTGCATCTTTTTTTGTTTGTTTTTATACTTGCTGAAGCACTTGTTGCCTAACGACAGATGCAGGGGCGAAACTATCTTGTTACTTTGCAGTGCAAAGTAAAGGAACGGTTTCTTGAAAAGGAACGGAGAGTAGAATCCACGTATAAATAAACATTTTATGATGTAGGCCAAAATTGAGTTCCCCTCCTTGACAGACCAGCATCCGCCAAAGCTTTGCACGCAAACTTTATTGTCAATATGATTGGTGAGACCATAATTTTCTGGAGAAATACTGTAAGCCGCTTCACTCCCCCCAGACATTTCATCCAGCTCCTCCTTGAGATCCTGAGGCACTTTCCAGCCAGCCAGCAGACAGAGTCTCTTCTGCATGTTGAGGCCTCCTTCTGGTGTACCCAAAGTATACAAATAGGAATTCTATATACCTGACGGCAAAATGTTAATTTAGAATTTAATTTTTATTTTCAGAGTCTTTACATTTTTTTTGTACCTTTACTTAAGTACACACATTGATAAGTGTTTAAGTGTTATACTAAAGTGTTATGATAAGTACCATGAGTGTAAGGAGCTACTTTTGTCAACAATGAATTTGGAAAATGGGGATATTGTGTCAGAGTTCCAAAACTACCCAGACCAGTCTCGGATCCCACAAACACAAACTGATTCATATTATTTAACAACAAATGTTGATTGAGGAAAAATGCAAGCCTGACAAAGTGCAACGTAAAACGCTGGTAACAAAGAACCAGGATGAAACAAAACAAAAAGCGTTTGCAACATGCAAGGGGAAATAACAATGCAAAATCATTTGTCACAAAAGGACAAGAAAAATCCAACTACGTGAAATGAGAAAACGCCGAAATACACACAATCACAAAAATAGCACTTATGAGATGCAAAATACAAAACGTGACAAGAGAACTACGAAGCATGATGATGAATGTCTAGAAAATACAACCACTTGTACAATAGTTGTGAGCAAGGCTGAATAATCTGACATCGAGCTGACCGTTTGGCAGTCCTTTTAAAGGCAGATGATGAAGATGCTGAATAGGTGTGGCCCCAGATGGAATGCCCTCCGATACCGCCTACTCTGAAACAAAATAAACAGAACCATGACATTTTGTTTTGCAGAAGATCAGAAATTATAAGGAAATAGTGTAGTCTTTTCTTAAAAATAGGTTGAAAAAAAGCACCTCTGCCTTACCGTTCTGAGGTTCTATGTCCCAAAACACATGCATGTTAGTTTTACTCAAGACTGTAAATATTCCATGAAGTGTGAATGTGTGTGTGAACGTTTGTTTATGTGCCTTGTGACAGAATGGAAACCAGTCCAGCAAGCCAGAGTGTACCGTGCCTCTTGCCCAAAATTCGGATGAGATGGGCTGCAGCTCACCTGCGACCTAAATGCGTATAAACACTACAGACATTGATGAATGTGCAATGTGTGAAAGAATGTCTTTTTTCTTCCTCCAAGCACATTCTGCACTCAGGCCTCCAGTTACAGCATTCGCCACAGCAAGCGGATAAAACAGTACAGAGGTGATAGTAATTGGGTTGGAAGAGGCTTAAATGAAATCAATCGATCGCAGGGGGCAAGGGATGATTCATGTCGCTGATACTGTATATTCATTCGTATTTATAAGTTGCTTGAAAGGCTATTCCACTGGACGCCTATAGGTTGAGTCCACGAGCAGAAACAAATATTCACTTTATTTTCACGTAGTACAAAGATTAACCACTAGATGACAGCATTGGATCTTCTAATCAAAAATAAGTAGTGGCGAGACCATTACCGGTAGTTTGAAAAAGACTATATTTACTGTCATGAGAGGGAACTGGTCACACCTTAATTTGGGTTACATATATATTGAAGTTATTACACTGATATTACCCCTATTAGGCTGTGTTTGTATTTTTGAAGAACATTTTGTGTTTGTGAATAGAAACAAGTGAAATATCATAAAATATAGTCGAAGCTTAAAGGGAGGCCCATGGTCCACCCACTAAGTAATGTAAAAGGTACTGAAATAATATAATGTGTCTGGTTTAAACACGTGCAATCATAACAGATGACGCAATAATCGTTTTGAGTTTTAATGAAATGAAAGACGCGCCACTCGATATCAACAATTTGCGTGTTTGAGTTCCTTCATTAAATGTGCATCAAGTTTGACCCAATAGGAGAAGAGTGCGATATGTTACGTCACAACAAGGGGCAGTCAGTAGTACGCCGACTTGACTGTGGTTGTTGGATCGTGGTCCAGGACCTCGCTTGAGAGATACGCTGCAGACCGACGAGGGGGCGGACCGATGAGCCGACAGTCCAACAGAAGACAACGAGCTTCCAAACAAGTGTTCGTATCTGAACCCGAACAAGATCTGGCATTTTTGCCTCGCGAGGCGCTGAATAACAACGCGGACTAACGTCAGTGGCAAAGCCCTGAGAAGGCGAGGTGTTGTGGACACGTTTGGAGGGAGGACAGTAAACGGACGGAGCCACAGGTAGGAAGCTGTCGTGGCAGAAGATCTCAAAGTGCAAGTGGGTCATGTAGATTTTAGTCTCTGACCCGAGCGACGAGTCGCGGCTGTGGAACGGCGGAGGACGAACACAAGCAGAACCGAGAAGACTTGAACACGCTGCTCCGACTCTGCGTCCGTCCGACTGGGCTCCTGGTCCCAGGAAGAGCCACAATGTCCAGGAGAAAGCAGAGCAAACCCCGGCAGATAAAGCGTAAGTAACTTGAAACGAAAGCACTTGTTTTGGTATTGACGGTCTTCGCTGTGAGTCAAACTTGTCGGCCAAACTGAAGAACGTCGCTAGTGACGTACCAGAGGGGCCGCTCCATCCTAAAAGTTAGTAAGTGTAGGACAAGGTCCAACTATAATGCCTGACTTTTCGTACAGTAGCAGAGTTTTATTGTACCATTTTATGGGAGACAATCTCTTGCTTCTTTTAGATTTGAAATCTCACTGAATTTCTCCTGCAGCGCAGATGACATACCCCCACCTGAAAAAGTTTTTTTGAGTGTCACTCTACACTATTTCTACACCCAACGCAGAAAATAAAATACAGTACAATGATCTCCACAAAATACTTGTTTGCATTGGTAGCCAAAACTGTAGCCGAGACTTCCTGTTTAATTCTGTTGTGAAAACGTCAGTGTTGCTTGAGAAAGCCGATGTGAACTGAGATAAAACAGCGATGCGATGTGAGCCCTGATAAAGATTAAAATGGATCTTTTTTTTCCGTCTGAAGCAGCGCCAAGGCCGCCGGTGCATTTCCCGCTCGGCTTTTCACTTTTCTTTTTCTTTTTTCCCCAAAGATGGGGCGTCAGATTGGCTGATCTTTCCGCCCCATCGCTGCTCACAATTAGACATTTGTACACGTGTCCTTTTATGTCAGTACTAATTATTCTGGTTCTGTGCTGGTTATTTGGTTATTTGCTTTTGGTGCTATGCTGTTCCAATCATTCTTAATTCATTGAAAATTGAACTTTGCATTTTTCCAAGAAGTAAATTTGTACCTTGAATGCAGCATTTGGCAGTCCTTAAGTATGTAAAAAAAAAAAAAAAAGAGAAAGAAAAAGGTCGAATCGAGAGCTCAACCCAGTAATGTAAGCCTCCACTTTTCATTAAAACACAATTTGGAAACTTAGAACTGCATGGCATCACTGAAAAAAAAAACCCATGAGTTTCAGGAGCCATCTTAACTACTCAGTGCCATGTTGTCAACGTGCTGTACAGTATGCAGTTGTGGACCAACTCAACTTGAATCATCTTTATTTAAGTATAACAGTCCGGTGTGTTGTAATTGCAACTATAAATAGCTGATTAACATACGACGGGACAATATTGAACAACCGGCCTGTGAATTGAAAAAACATCAGTTGTTATTAGTTTCCATGAAAACCATCACTGATCAACAAATTGTTTCTTGTGAGTTGAAAAGAGATTGCACAACAAGGGCTGCAATTTTGTTGCTGTTCAAGAAGCCATCAGAAAATTATATTTGTTCAACTTTAAAGTCATGGGATGTTGCCCATGTCATGATGTGATTATGTACAGTATGAGCATTAGATATCTGATCTTAAAACTGGGAATTTGTGCTGTAGCATTCTAACTTAACCTAGCAAAATCAAACAACTATTAGGGTTGTTGAGTCACAAATAATAATAATAATATTAATAGTAATAATAATACCTAAAATAAAATACAATTTTCTATCTATCTATCTGTCTATCTATCTATCTATCTATCTATCTATCTATCTATCTATAGTTACTGTAATCTAATCACAGGACCAAGGTTTCAGGTAACAGGGTTGCAAAACGGATAAATGTTAGCTTTGTCTCAGGAGTAGAAGCTGGCTTTTTAGCTAGCTGTTACTACTGATGACCTCGAGGACAAATTTACTTACCATATGTAAATAAGTAAAGCATTTTTTTTTTTTTTTTTTTTTAAGAATTGTCTTATTCTGAACAACTGAATAACAAAGTTGCATGAGGTAGAGTGAGACATTCAATCAAGGCCAAATATTTTATAAAAATGTGAAAAATAGAAGAGCGGATAAACCTTTACACTACCATTTTTTTTTTTTTTGAAAACTGTTTGATGTCAAGTCCTGCGTATCATGCGATTAACTGCATTCCTGTTCTTTTGACCATGCGAGAAAGATTATGGTAACAGGGTTTTGTGCATCTTGTGGGG